TCAGAGGTATACAAAACTTAGTTAATTTTATTGTTTTATCTAACTATATTAAATGCGCGTGACAAATTCAAAGAATATTCTGATTTGTCTTAATTATAAATTTCATCCTTTCTCGAACTTTTTATGAATAATATCTGTAACAAAGTATACATTTTCTGTTATTTATTATCCGCGCATGTAAATTTAAAACACTAATCACACTATTAAAATGATTTTTTGTGTACGATTTGGTTCAGAGGTGCGTAAAGATCAAGTATGAAGTTAAATGTTAAAAAAATAATAATAATCAGCTGTATTTTCACTTTATACTCATTCCATATTACGACAACTAAAAAAATAATCTATTTAGTCACGATTCGTTCTGACCACCACAAAATATACTCTATACTACTGTGGGTTGACGTCATTCGGCTGACCAATCGGCGCTTTGTGCCATCTGGATATTTAGTCGCACGTGTGTATTTACACCACAGTCAGAATTATGCTTGACCAGCAGGTTATTGACGTCGCGAAGTAGTGACATCTTGTGGTAAAAAACAGAACTACGGCTACGGAATCGTTCGGTAATTAGACGCCTGTGATAGGTTAATATACTTTTTCATACGTGATCAGTCATCCGAACAACCCCAGTCTCCGGTTGTTTCGGATAATTGATGCTCTACTGTAATATAGTTAAAACTAATAAAAAAGTAAACGGTAATAAAATACATTAAAATAATAAAAAGTGATGAATAATTAATAATAAACATTTAAATTATCAAAGATGACAACTTTTTAAACCAATTTAAATATAAAAAAATAACTAATATTTTTCTTACTTAGTTCCAGATTACGAAATAAAATTCAAAGGTGTTTTATTGAATTTGTTCTTAAAATCATTTATTGTCTCGGGCTTAATACTATTTTAAATCATATTTATATGGAAATTTGTAAGGATAAAAACCTTTAGTCATACAATTTTAATTAGTTTTATTCCTCTTTTTGTTAATTTATTTTATTTTAATTTTTTTATAGAGAGTATTAATTCTTTATTCCTAATATTGTGCTAATAGCTTCTCCATACATCTGGCTCGTCCGTCTTGCAGTTCTTCTCGTCACTCCTTTTAACTCGTCGTCATTTATTAGCTACGTCCTGTGACATTTAGCCAGCATCAAAGGGATTTATTTTTATGGCTCTTACTTATAAGCAGTATTTGTTCCATTTTCTTATTATGTACTGTAGATGGTTCGATAATTTCATAACACTGTACACTATTGATTTTGACATATGTACGGCAAGATGAGATGCAATTTGCCTCAGACTCATTAATTACAAAGCTCTATATTTATCTAGTTATGGCCATAAAACACTGTTTGCGTGGGAATCAGTCGCATAATGCGCTTCTTATTACGTTATTAACAGATTTGTGTAGCTCGTGTCGTTATTTTTTATCATCTTAAAGGCTACAGTAAATACGAACGAATTAGGAAACGAATTAATACGTCTCAATTTATTACTGAAATATACACAGATTTCAACAAAGCTTTAAATCAATAAAACTCGGCTGAAGAAAATTAATTTAAATACGTAATTTGAATATTTTTCTACTTATACATTCTAAAATATAAATAATTTTATCTTATATTCTTTAGTTGCGAAAACCGATGTGTATTATTATTTTAAAGTTTGTTTAAAATAATATCGTTATTTTAGAAGGCAAATATTAAATAACGGAATCTGGGGAAATATTGTATGGTACATTGGGCAAGCAATATGCAGCATTTACTGTATTTAGAAAACCTTAGCAGAGATGGCAATATTGTTCACAAGGTAACATGCACCGAAGTGGCACTAACCGGTCGTCGGGATAATATGCCGTGTGCGATATATAACTCTGTATGTCTTACACTGATTTTTTAAAAAAAAAGACTGAAATGTGACCGGACTTGCTGTGTACAGTGTCTGCATTGGATTCACGAAATATGCTCGCCATCCGATCGTTTCTCTGACGATTGGACAGAAGACATTTAACAAAAAATACTTAAATTTACTGCTTACCATTACTCATTAACTATTGTGTATCTCAGGGCTTCTTAAACTATGAGTCGCGACCCCATTTGGGGTCGCTTAGCGAAATCTTGGGGTCGCGAGATTTTAATGCAAAATATTGAAAATAATTTGTGAGAGTTTGAAAATGGCACGCTTTGTGTGATAGGTTTCGTGAGTTGTGCTTTGTGTCACTTCTGGTGCAGAGAGATAATGATTCAGCAACACTAGTGAAAACTAGTGTAGTGTTGTTGCTTTTCACTGTATTCAGTTGTCTCTGTTCCATTGTAACACAAGAGTGAACTGTGGTAGTACACCATTATTGTTTTTGCAAATTTGTATATATCTGTATTTTATATTGAGGGTCGCGAAAAAATCACAATCATAAATGGGGTCGTGAATAAAAAAAGTTTAAGAAGCCCTGGTGTATCTTCACAGTTAGGCATAGTTAGTTGCGAGTTACCCTTTTAAGCGCAATGCCAACTGATATGGCACAAGCCGTCACGTGACCATATTACCCCGCTGTTAGGAAAAAATGGTATTTTGACACTTTCTGATTTCGTACTGCTTTTTGATTAGGAGCTGTCCGTAAATTACGTCCACATTCTTCTTAAAATTTTTACTCTCCCTCTCCTTTTCGTTCCAGTTGGTCCAAGTTTCCGTAACCTCCTCTGCTCTTCGGACGTCCACCAAAAATCGGCCCTACTTAAAACCTTTATTACTTTAAAAAATGGTAGATACAATAAGTAAAAACCAGGGTTGTGGAGTCAGAGTCGGAGTCGGAGTCGTGGAGTTTTGGTGTTTTAGCCAGAGTCGGAGTCGTGGAGTTTTGGTGTTTTAGCCGGAGTCGGAGTCGGAGTCGAATGGTAAGGAAAAGTCGGAGTCGGAGTCGGATTGGTCAGGAAAAGTCGGGGTTGGAGTCGGTAGATTTTTACGCGACTCCACAGCCCTGGTAAAAACGAAATATACAAGAAATTTTGAAATAATTATATCGAAATGCATAAATTGTATAAATTTTAATACAATATATGGACGTCCGCAGAAGTTCAATCTCTTCCCTCGTCTGACTTGTCTTGACTACATCCGTCCATTCCAGTATAGATGTTACCGCTAAAGCTCGAAATCCGTTAATGTGCGCATTACCTAGCTAATCTGCAGATTAACTAGGGTGATCCGTTAAAGCTGCGAAAATTATTCCATTTCTCAAATTACCTAGGTAATGTTCAGATTATCTAGGTAATCTGCAAATTACCTACTAGGCACTCGGTAAAGTGAAAATAAGATTTTTGCTGGAACAACAGCAACGTTTCTGTACGCTTAAATTAACATAATGTTATTTATTTAATTTTCAATATCTAAAGAATCAAGTTAATACAATCAACAAATTAGTTGATTGAATCAATCATCAATCAATTAAAAAAACTTTAATACAAAAATCAAACGGTTTAAAATATTACTACAATTAGGGAAATGAATTTGCAAAACATATGATAAAATTGTACTTACTTATTAGTGCAATCTAAAGATTGGTGACACTTTGAATTACGTAGCAATTGGTTTTTGCGACAAGCACGCCTATTTGTGGTACATTTAGATTTGCAGTCACATTTTCTGAAACCCTGCCCAGTACCAAGGGATTGTTTTATTGCTGTTTGACGTAAAGATATTTCTACAGCAGGGACATCCATCTTCTTTCGTTAAAAATCTCTCTTTGCAAACACTGAATTCAGATTTTGCATACAATTGTTTTAAAATACCTGTTTTAGTATCAAGTTTATAAAAGCCATCCTCTGTTTTACTAAGAACCACAGCTAAAATTGAACGTGCATCAGTTTTTGCTCTGTCTTCTTCGGGTACTTTAATTCTCACAGCGAAACCTTCATCGACGTTTGGGTGCTTTGCATTAGAAACTGCTAACATTTTCTTTGCTTGCTTTTCTAAACATTTCTTGGCTTCATCACGCTGTATTTTCTGATCCATATTCTTTTTACAGATGATGCACAATACATTCTTACCATACCCTTCCTCTTTAGGATCTACTTCACCACAAACTGCGTGAACAAACATATTACACGATTTACACTTGTGAGCACTTGATGCTGCTTTTGAGCAAACAATACAGACTATGTCTTGTATAGTGCTCTTTACAGGCTCCGTACGAAACTGTGATGGCGATTCTGCTGAAGTTGAGAGTAACTCAGTGATGACTTCTTCAACTTGCAGAGGCGATTCCTTGGAGGTGCAGGGTAACTGAATATTCTTCGTGACTGCATCATCAATCAACGGTATAGAAGGCAGTTTAAGATTACTATCGGTAAATTCTTGTATTTCTATAGGTGATTCTGTAGAAGCGGGGGATAACGGAATGTCCTCTTGAGTAAGATTTGACTGTGATCTCATAATCACAGTCTCTTGTGAATCTTCTAATTTTTCAAGGTCTTCTTCAGTTTTTATCGAATGTCAAACAATTCTCCGGCATGGACAAACTTTTTCAAACCTTTCTCGCGCATCTGACAACGGCTCAATGAGTTTTTCACAGCCTCGTACAGTCAACACATCACACCTTTGAATTATTTGATAATCTCGAGATGATTCTTTCTTCTTGGAAACTTTTATTTGCTTTACATCTTCAATTATGGAATCATACTTTGGTTTGTTATTAAAACACTACGTATTATATTTTAAATCTTCGCTAAAGAGGTTTGCGAAGAATCTTTTCTTGATTTTACTCACCAATTCGGTGCTTGCTTGCATTCTAGGATTTAAATTTATCTACGTAAAAAGAAGGAGTGGGGAAAGGAAGTGAAAGAAACAAACTTTTGAACTTTAACGATACGGAAGCCGTTAATGTGCAGATTACCTAGATACTCTGCAAATTACCTAGGTAATTTGAGAAATTGGACAATTTTCGCAGCTTTAACGGATCACCCTAGTTAATCTGCAGATTAGCTAGGTAATGTACACATTAACGGATTTCGAGCTTTAGCGGTAACATAGACATCATTTATGGACATCGCCTTACATTCGCTTCGTATTTGGCGAAACATCTATTTGGTAGTGTAAGTAAAGATTATACAAATACTTTCTTGACTTTGTTCTATTTGTATACAGTCGCCGTACATTTATAAAATAAAATTTAGTTGCCATATTTCCCCAGTTTACTATATATTTTATTAAAGCTTTTCTTGTATTGAACAAATGACAATAAACAGAAATATAATGGGCACAAGCAAAATAATGTTCGTGCTCAATCTATGAGAATGTTATGTTTAATAAAATAAGAATTAACTAAACTCAAACAAGCATTTAAATAATAAACTCTCGAAAAAAAACAGAAATATTTATAAAATATATAAAAGAGTACGGTTATTTTCAACATCAGTAACGAGAGAAATATCATCAACAGTAATTTAAAAGTAATTTCAATATATTATTTACATATAGATCATTGGGCGTATAATGTCGACTATAAATTTAATAAAAGTGAAAGCTTAACAAGAAATTTTTATAGCAATAAACCCTATAGAAAAATTTTAATTGGTCGAATTGGGGCGTAGTAACCGAACACGCGTACTCGTGTATTCTGTACTGTAATTAAATGAACGCTTCGCACAGTTATCAAATACTTTAGCGTTGTTCTAATTTGATTGCACGTAAAAGGTAACGTCTCGTACTTAATTATCGTCGATTTCTTTCATTGCCAGATTTACCACTCCACACGGAGCAGATTTTTGTTTAGGAAAAATATCGTTTACGTTCTCGTCTTCGCGATTTTGTCTTTTGCACGAATTCCTGCCAATCGAACTTAAAAGAGTCATGATGACGGGAATAAATAACACTCCGTGCAAGATCGCTATGGCACAAGAAATGCTTATTATGATTACTGCGTCGTGCGATTCCGGCGAAGGTAAAAATACATTCATTACTAAGGCTAAAACGGTCGTGGTACAACCTTGAATGACCGGTATTCCGGTCAAAGATACGGCCCTAACTAAACGACGATTAGGATCGGTATCGCTGGAAGAGACGTAAGCACACGACACGTGGGCCGCGTTATCTACAGAAAATCCAATAACGATAATGAACATGGTAATAGAGTTCAAGTTCAGATTAATGTTACAGTACGACATGTAACCTAGAACGCCTATCCCCGCAGAAACTATGTCTAACAGCACACATAAGATAGAAACGTAACTCGGCAAGAGAATAACGCAAACGACAAATATTGCCGCCAACACGACGGAGAAGGTTTGGCTAGCCGTAACGGGAATTATATCGACTAAATCGAAGTAGAAAAAATTCCAATTATATATAATCCCATTCAATGGAGTTTCGTCTAATTTTCTTCTCATTTTCACTAATTGAGAATAGAAATGTTTTCCGTCTCTAGTCACATTCGTTTGAAGAAAGAAACGAGAAGCGACGATATCTCTGTTATTTGAATCGAACGAAATGTCGTTTTTAAATCTTTTCGCCTCGGGAATACGAAGAAAAAAATTCCTAAGAACAAATATAAAATCCTCGGTGTTTGTCAAATTATACGAAGAGAACAACAGAGATATTCTCTTATCCGAAACAAACCGAAGATAACTCCTCAACCAGGATTCCGTCATTAGCGATCCACCAATCAGAGGATCGGATTCTAACGTTTGCATCGTTTTTTCGACTTTCTGTTGGACCAGAGGATCGGCGTAATCCAGCTTCTCTAGAATAATAAACTGTAATCTGTGTTGATATTGATAATAATATTGTTTCTGTAATCTATAATATCGATCTCGATATGTGTCCCCGATGACGTTTAAATTTAAATCAGCTTCAAAAGACAGTTTGGTAATGCCCCAAATTGCGAACCCTAAATACAAGAGATACAATATTATTACAAAAAGTTTTGCAACATTCGTTGTCAGAGATTGGATGAAATTTTCCCACGTGTTACTAATAAGCCAACAACGAGTGTTTTTATCGGTGGATTCGGCTTGAACGTAGCAAAATATGTTTTTCAGTAAACTCTTTCTACCTGCAACTAAAAATATTCGTGTTATTTCATTTTCTATAAATCCCGTAGACAAATATAACTTTTTCCAATAGAATATAATTATTAAATAAGTAATGATATAATTCAATAATTATTATCTATTGACAAATATTTATTTAATATTAATTTGTTTTTACCTGTAGAAGAGAATTTCTTCAAAGGAAGAAATAATAAGGAATGTAAATTCTTTTCTTCAGCTTTTCCACAATACACAAAACAAGCTCCGATAAACGTGATTTGGTAGATGTAGTCAAAGGTCAAACACGTTGCCATGAATAAGCAGAACTCTCGAAATTCGGGTACCGAATTAAATATAATCCCCACTACGAAAGAAGTGATGTTGGTGAGGGATGTGATGGTTATAGAAACACCCGTTTCGGAGAACATTTCTGCCATTTTGTCTTCTACAGATTTTGTCTTTTCTGCTTTCATCCAAGCCGATAACATAATAAACGTATCGTCCATCCCGATTCCTACATGCAAAGACAATAATACAATCTCGTTTACGATAGTAATTTTTCAGCGTGTAATATCCGAAATATTTCAACTGATTATCTTTCGTTTTACGATAAAATATATGTAATTTATAAATTAAACTTAATTACCTTTACATTATTATAACAATTTAAATGTACTGTACAATACTTTGCAAAGATAACCTAAAAATATTCTTGGATAATTATAATGATTTACTGAAGATATGCTTTTCATTTTGGTTTGTGTAATGCCAAGAGCTTACGTACTTACAACACTACGAATAAAAGTACAGCTTTTTACGTTATTTTCTTTTCTTGTGTTTTGCCATAAAACAATTTAAAATAGTTTCGTCGTATTTGTACGATTCTTTCTTATTAACTATCTCATCTACTGCTAATACATTTTAATTGATTTTAAAATCATGTCTTGTCCTCGCCTTCTGTACATTTCAGCTATTTTTTTTTCACGAAATAATAAGAATGACGGAGAGTGCGGTGATGGATTTTGACACCTCATAGATATTTTTTTTTTTTTTGTCGTTTACTCACATTTATGTAATATGTAAACCACGTGTCTCGTTTTATGAGGATTTATGCCTTGTTTCTATGAAATAGTTTACTATGCAATGTTTCGATATTTGGGAATGTCGGGTAGTATAGGACACCTAAACTTCTCCTATATTATAAAATATTTTTACAACTCAATTGGTCCAGATTACATTTAATACAAACTTCATTGTCTTATAAAAACACCTGTTAAAACTCATTTCTCTAAGAAAAAAATATTAATAATTTTTTTACAATCATTAGGCCTATATTTTTACCAAGTTCAATTGTGAAGGGTTGTATCGGACAAGAGAAAAACCTGCAACAAGAGAATTATTTTTGGTTTCACAAACAACTTTTTATTATTAGGCAGAGTTATTTTTGACAAATTTATAAAAGTACAAATTACAGATCGTAAAACTAAGTTAATACATGATAAAAAAAATAGTATAAATGAGAAAAATTAAAAAATTATCAGTCTGAAAATTTAACAATTCGTTTTAATGACAAATGCATTCTGTGTTTACTTTTTTTCTTTTTTAGTATTAAAAAGATTACATTCATAAAACAGATTGTTTCCTTCAAGACCGGCGCAATTTTGTGAGCCCAACCTTCACAAATCCTACACTGAATCCAGTCTTCTACAAAGGTTTCACCACAGATGATGCTGCGAGTCTCTTGGTCTCCTCTCATTCCTTGAACTGATTTAGGCCTATCTACTGCTTTCTTTCTTTGTCTCTCTTTATTTGGACGATTTTCCCCCTGCAGTTTTCTCTTAGTTACATAGAGTATTTTTTCCCTTCTTTCTCTCTATTCTTCTGCAGTACTTTATCCATCTTGTCCCGTAAAACAAAAACATTCCGTGAGAGTATAATTCTTATCAACTTTAAACTGTTTCCGATACAACCCGTAACACCTCTGTCCCATACAAACCACAACATTTTTGTCCGATACAACCCGCAACATCATCGAACACAACATCGGTTACCACATACGTATTATTAAGCTTAAGGAAATTTTTGGCCTACAAGTTAAAGAACGAAAAATGTTGTGGCCGAGTTTGTGAAAAATGCCGGGTTATTGGGAATGGGGTTAAAAAGGAATAAGTACGAGTGTTTCCTCAGAAAATACTGTACTGTACTTGTATGTATTGTTTGCTCGAGAATACAACAGAGAATAAACTGCCCAAATACCCTTAAACAAAAAAAAGTACTGTACGTACAGTACTTTATGAAGGCATAGAGCTTTTACTACATAAAAACGAAAACTAATGAATACACAGTGTACAGTAATTTACCTGAGAAGACAGACCTCAGAAAAATACTTTATGAGGCATAAAGCTGTCTTTAATGAAAATTAACTGGGGTTTTTTCGCTCAGCCAGGGTGTGGCCGAGTTATCCAGACTACCGGGTTATCGAGTGACGAGTTTTCGGGACTCTACTGTATAACATTTCGCAATGTCGTATTAATATCTTGCTGTACAGTACATTCCACCAGTTTTGAAAGATCAGTATATTTCATACACTTAAAATATTTTGAGTAGATGCGAGAGGTAAAATATGCGTCAACGGATTTCATATCTTATTGATTGTGGTGTATCTTACTAGCGCTAGAAGACAAAGAACACGACGATTCTCTATAAAAAATATCGCGTAAGTAACGAAACACGACATCTTTTCACGCATAAAGGTGGCCTAAATATGCTAGCTAACGGCTGTTATAAATTACAGTACGTTCGATACACGGGGATACTTGTGTTGAATCTCGGGCCGATACTTTATGTTTAAATTGAAAATAAAAAAAATTTGACGAACAAAAACCATTTGCTGTGTAGTCGTGAATCACAAAAATTTCCTTTCGATTTATCAATAGAAGGAAATTTCTGAAGAGAGATGTTGACTTTGATATTAACTCGTTGTTTCTCTCCTCGGGTGACTCGAATCATCCCAGATCATTGGACGACTAATATACTGTAAATAGACTAATATACTATAAATAGAGACAAACACAAACGCGTAACGCTAGAACTGGGAAACCGAACTCTCAAGAAAATACGTGTCCGAACTAAAAGAGTTTCTCGCAAATGTAGTAATTCGTGGCCAGCCCCGTAAACGACACAAGAAAATAAGGAACCGTAATGAGGTATTATGTTTAATTCAAATATAGGCCTATAAACTCTCTCGTCATAATAGATTTATTGGTTTAAGATTTGAAGTCCTCTCTCTCTCTTGTAAAGTTATCGAGACGAAACATTTTTATCACCATTCCTAACATAGTTTTTATTGAATCTCCATTGAATGTATGTATATATAATAGATATAGTTTTGTTGCAATATATAAATAAATACATATAAGTTTGTATATATCCAATTCTTAAACCATGTACGAAAGTTTACTTTTGTCATTAATTAATTTTGTTAAGTCCATTACGAAGTATTTCATTGTAATTAGGAAATGTAAACAGACTTGGTTCACTATTACGTTGACACGCTGTATTTTGTGTATTTTAAATTGTTTCTATGTAATTAGGAATTGTTGCGGACTATTTTACGCCTGAACTAGCTAAAATTTTTTTAATGAAATATGTAATTTTTTTAAAATACAAAATTTTTTTAAGTTTCCGATTAAAAAACAATAAAAAGAGACCTGCTGCAATGTGTAAAAAATCTGTATCTGTTTGAATGCGTGAATAAAGGGATTCTCCACCTCCTCCTCACAACATCTGACTACCCGGCATACATTTTAAATTACTTATTTTTCAAATTGAGCTGGATAAAGTAAGCGAAACGTGTTCATTAAAATAATTACTATTGATGAAAAACGAAAACTTACCTAAGACAAGAAACGGAACAATAATAGTCGTAACCGTAACCGCAAATCCTAAATACATCAATAATCCAATTCCGGAAATTACACTCATGCCAGTAACAACCGTGGACAAGATTCCTATCCACGGCTTGCTTCTGAGAAAATCCGGCGAAAGGCACGTCCCAATAACGAAAAGTACCATTAATAACATAGAATAGAACACGTACTTTCTGAAAAGCAGTAAAAGGTCCGTCTTCGATTCTTCGTGAGAAAAAGAGTGATCTTTGACCACATTTATGTCGCTAAAGTTCAGCTTATCGATGTTATCGATAAAATTCTTCTGCCATTTTCTGCTCAGTCTTTTTCGTGTTTTATCCCGACTGTTTAAAATATAAACTAATCTGAGAGCTCGAGCAGAAATGATTTCACTTTTATTATTAACGGTGACTCCTCCTAAAGAGACTAAATTGTATTCTTCCTCTTTGATGTCGTCGCTGTCGTTTCTAGGATATTTCAGTGGAAATGTTCCGTTTTCTATTTGAGCCATGTGCTTTTGGAGAAGAAGGATTTTATTCCGCCAACACCTTTTCTTATTTTTAGCGCACAAATCTTCGTACTTCCACCGGCCTTCGTCCGTAATGGTAAATTCACGTATGATTTTGTCTAACTTCGTTATTTCTTGGAAGACGGATGATCGTAAAACAGATCCTTTGTCTTTTGGCTCGACGATTACAGTCCCGTAATAAAGTGGTTCCACGGATTTTTCGGGGTAGAATTCTGAATAATCGGTGGGAAACAACTCGGTTAAGAGCGATTTATATTTGCCGATGATACCGATTTCGCTAATCAGTGTATCGTCACTAAAGTTTATTTTTAATCTCTGAATTCCCGTAGTCAATAAAAGTGTAATGAAAATGGGAAAAGCCAAGAACCAGGGGGCATTTCTGTTGACGATTCTTCCGTGATTTTCGAACTTCTTAGATAAAAACTTGTAGGCCAATCCCGCTTTTATCGGCATTTTCAATCTGAAAAGAAACAATACATAAGTGTTAAGTTCCATTTTAAATTCGTCTTTTTAACATTAATGCAGCTCTACGCATTAATATTTTATATATTAATGCGTATATATTGTATACATTTATATATTATATATATAGCCTATATATATTTTGTATAGTTATATATTTTAAACTGTTTTATTATCGTATTTAGGCCTACTGAATATCACGATGTAACTTTATATTCGCTAAATTAAATTTAATTATGAGATAATTTTATTTAATTTTAATAAGTATTCTTTATAAAATAAGGTTTTTTATATCGCTCGGTAAGAACGAAGAACGACAAAAAAATGTTTGTATGCAAATCATCAATATTATAACAGTATTTTACTTTATTTATAATATTCAAACGTGTTTCTGAAAATTCTAATAAAACCAAAATAAGATATAATTTCCTCGTGTTTGCATTCTTATTTAGTAATATTTTAATACTTCCCCAATACAATTATGAATATATTTCTAAGTAAATAAAAGTCTAAAATGTCTAAATCTATTTTTAAAAGTATAAATTAAATTATTTAATTAATAAATGTATAGCTTTTGGTGCAGACAGATCTGTACCAATTTTCAATTAAACACCCAGGAAAATAATAATGTAGAACTTATAATATATAGAATCGATAAATTTTAAACCTATAAATTTTAATAAATATTTTTAAAAAATCAGAAATTTAACATTTGTGAATTTTATAAGTGTTCGAGAACTTTTCCTAAATTTTTGTACGTTTTTATTTGTAACAATAAAATAAATGAGACATTTGTACGATCTGAGATTTACAATTACATCTCGGGTTACGAATGTTTCTGTTTACGAACAAGTTGCTTTACGAACCAAATTTTAAACGCTACATTCGCTTCGGTTGCCGTACGATAACTCGGTTTCCGAACAAACTACTCGGCAGAGCCGGCCACCGACGGTCAACTTCCTATACTTCCTGTGTTAAAGAAAGTTGACGACCTGACCAATCAACGACCGGATTACCGACTCGGTAGTGGCGCTGAGTTCGCTCGGCGTCATTTAGACGTCCCAACAAGAATAATCGAAGCGATGTTATTCAAATTAGATTACGATGCGCATGCGCGTAAGATACTACTTTCGGTTTTCGATACATATCGCAATTCAATTTAAATCAAATTAATTAATAAAAGCCCCGTTCATTGACATTCGCGTAATATAAATTATATCCACCATCCGTGTTTAAAGGTGCTTAACTCAAATTAAATAACGATAATTTATTAATACCAGGTGAACAGTTAATTATTAATAAAAATACTAAATAATAAATAAAACTCTGGTTTTACACCAAAACTGACACTAAAATTTAAAATAAAATCAAAATTAATTATTTAATTGAAATTTTTTTGGTCATCGCCCTTTTTGAAAGTGAATTGTTCCTGGAAAAACGGGCGGAAGCGCGACGGCACAGAGGGCACCGAAGAAAGAAGAAAGGCGAAGGAAGGTCGAAGCTGATGTGCCTCGGTAAACTGAAACCTGTTCTGCAAAGTATCTCAAGTACTTTACAGTGTACTTTACAAACAAACCTACCTTGTTATTGTATGCTAAATGTGTTATTTACGTTCGGTGATAAATGTGTTTAGGAAGATCCAGTTGCATCGTATGACTTAATTAACGAAAGAACCAGGACTACGGTCGCCACAATAACTTTCTTAAATAGGTTACAGTTCACTAACAAAATCACTTAAATTTTGTACCTTATAAAAAATTTTCTTGGAAGTGGATACGGGGAGTCCTCGTTCAACCCGGCTAATGAGGACCAAAACTTTGCCAAATTATGTGAACCTACGTAAAACGGGGAACATAAAACTATAAAAAAATCATATTTAAAATGATTAATTGCCACTTCACTAAAGCAAAACGAAATAATAAACGTGAAAGAATTCTTTATTATCCCTATTTACACACATGTAAAATACTTATCTATATCTATATCTATATATAAAAATGGACATGTGTGTCCCTATATTTCACTTTTCAGCCAAAACTACACATCGCACATGAATGGTGTTTGTATGTGGTAGTAGCCCCAAGTCTTTATTCGTGCACTATGGTGGTTGCGTCTCGATAGCTATAAGGGTGTGGGAGATATGGGCTTGAAAGTGGTTGAAAGTGGAAGATTTCCTATTTCGATTTTAAAAATTTTCGAATTCGAATTCGAATTTAAATTCCAATTAGTTCGATTATAGAACGATTGTAAACGTTCGAAAAAATTGATTAAATTGAAAATAGTTCGTTTGACTGGACGTAAAAATTCTCTAATTAGTCTGGAAACGGGGGACCTAATTCTTGCATTCTGTGAAAACGGGTAAGATTAACTATAATGTAATTATCTTAATCTTCACTATCGTTACTTTTTTCCCAGCGAAGCAGGTCCTTGCAGTTAGTTATCAATATATTTGTACTGTACATCAGAAAATATTTCTAAATATCATTTATAATGTAAAGCAGTGTTTTTCAACCTGTGGGTCGCGACCCCCAGGGGATCACAAAGCCTTACACGGGGGGTCGCGGGTAAAAAAAAAGATAAGTGTTTGTAGGTCCTACACTACATTAAAAAAACTACAATTTCAGCGAGAAGGCTTTACCTGTTTATTTTACAATACAATTGGTTTTTTGATCGATATTTAGGTCTCAACCATGGGTGTAGGCAGGGAGGGGCCTGAGCCAGAAAATCATAGCCGAAAAAGTGTTGAGCTGATTTGCAAAAAAAAAAAAAATAGAAGTAGAAGTTCAAAATTCTGATCCTAAAAAAAAGAAGTTTCATACTTTATCTGTGTTAAGTTGTCGATTTTTATGAAATTTTCATTTTAATCAACAATAATTTATCTCAACAGAAAGAAAATTAAATACATTATTTTTAAAATCACTGATATAGTTCTAATATGGCCCTGGGTGGGTCGCCAGAATTGTTTAACTTATAAAGGGGTCGCGTATTCAAGAAGGTTGAAAAACACTGATGTAAAGTACGCTGTTTCCTGCAGTTTATTTTTTCATTTAATATTGTTTTATAACAACATAATAAGGTTTCATCCCGTTCTCGAAGTTTTCTGCACGTTCATAAACTCGATCGTTTTAAGAAAATAATTCGCGATTTTCGTCACACTTCGCAACGTATCACGTAAGCCATCAATGGATAGCCCATTTTCATTTGAAATTTTATTCCACTCCTAATCACTGTCAATTGTATGCCTACATTATTTATAGACCTATATTATAACTAGCAGACGAGCTCGACGTTCCTCGAGCAAAAAATAATCATCAAATATTAAGATTAATTAAAAGTAAAACACAATCTAATAGATTCTTTCGTACTTCTAACCTTTCTATTAAAATATATTACGCTATAGTATTTGACTTATATAACAAGAAAGGGCATCTTACGTAAAGGTTTATCACATCGAGTGACATATTTTAAAAATTCATTATTTCTCTGAAGATGTGTCATTTACGAAGGAAACGTTATCAAAGAGAAAATCTTCTGAATTTCCTCGGTTATATTTCCATCTCGGGCTTAAATGATTTTTTCGAACATATTTTATATTTCTAATCTTTTATAAATTTCGTAATTTTGAAAAAAAATGCACTGAAGCTTACAATAAAAGGAAGGGGACTAAATATTTTTAAGCACGATGTTAGATGACAACGTATAGGTAAAGTGTCCGGCTCAAGAAGTCATCTGTTAATTGTGACTAATTAAAATCAAACGGGGTTTTACATACTTTTCAAATATTTGAGAACAGACGGAACACAAAAACGCTTTTTCCTCAACCATCATTACAAAATTAGCAACTCCAGCCCTTCTATCACCTTAATTCGACCTAATAAACAAGCATCTGCTTTCACTAACGTCCTCGCAGCGAAAGAGTAGACACGATCAGCCTAAACTGGAAGGGTCTATGTCAGATGAAAAGGACGGAAGGAGTTAATAGGAATTTATAATTGTCGTTATAATTCGAGAAACACCATAAGTCGAAAGATCTACTTCATATTCGCATACGCGATCTCGGCCACTGGCCATCTCCTTTTTTCGAATGCGAGATCTAGCGGGCTTTTTAACAATACTAGAAACGGCAAATTTAGACTTATGGTACGGTACTTGGAATTTTTAAAACATATACTTGCAAACTATACTATAAAAATAACGCTATTGCAAGCCAGTAATAAATATGAATTACTGCACTTCATCTGGGAGATGACTAGAAAAACAAGTCAGCTATGTTGCCGTTTATCTGGTTTATTAAGTCACACCAACCGCTCGGCCATTTACGATAGTGTAAACGCATGGTTTACATTACCGTAAATATCAAAAGATTCTCCAATTTGTTCTTTTTTAATAATAGTGATTTAATGGCAATACAAATGCAGCTGACACCTGCGAACTACTCTAATCTAGAGCTAATCGTCACTCTCGTCTGTTTGATGCGCTATCTTCGATCTGAGAATACCTTTAACCGTGTAAAGAATAATCAAATTGGCGTGTGGAGTAAGACAGTTTCTGACAAGAGCGCCCGTAGATTGGAACACTCGGACACGTTTCTCGTTTTTTGTCTCTGGGTTGACTGTTTTTTAATTTTTAAGGGTGGAAGGGTACCAAATTTATCAACAAGTAGTAGGAAACTTACGTCTTTTAGATAGCTTAGTATCCAAATATAAAGGAAACTAATGAAAGATATTTGTGCAGTCCCTTGTAATGGCTTTTATTAGTTATTGTTTGTCTCATGTTGATCAAATCCTTGTTTTCCAGGCCAAGTTAGCTCCGAGTACAACCAGAGCCAGCTTATAGGAGTGCTGATGGGATATTCAATTATAGTGCGAAGCTTCTTGCATAATGCACGATGCACTTTTTCATAGCTTGTGTCTCCTTTTCTATACTTTGCGGGCGTCGCTGGACCGTAATAGACAGACTTCCGGATTAACTTGTATATCTATACTCGCTCGATGTTCTCTGCTTTGTCGAGTAAAGGTAAGTGCTGTGATTAACTCGCCCCACCTCCTACGTCACATTTCCGCTTAGTCACTAATAAAAATTCGACCGTTCATTGGCCACTTTTACATACGCACTTCTAAGTTACTACGTTACTAATAATGCCACTTCTATACAATCATCTATGCGACTTCAGATAATAGAAACGCCACTAAGATCAATTAATTAACGGTCTTATTATTTATAAAAGATATTTATTACACTACACGACGGTCTGATATTACTATTTTGAGTAACATCAACGTTTCGGTATTCGATGACAGCGTCTCATATTCGAGCATCAATCGTAAGTAAGGGCATAAAAGATTTGTAAAATGCTTCGAATGTGTGACGCAAGCTTCCCTTTACCCGTCGATATAGAAATTTCGATATTACGTAAACATTTAAAAACTCGACTTTCAGGTTCCGGTAAATCTGTTACACAACATTTGACGGTTTGAGATGTATTATTAATTTCAATTAATTTTTTGCGAAGTAAGTCTAATTAAAATTACCTCTACACAGTAACAAATACTCTTACAAAATACAGCACCTTACAGATTCTAAAAGTGTCTTTTAACCGTAAATTTTAATTTTACTCTAGTGTTTAATAAAACAAGAAACCTGAAATATTTTTTACAACACATAAACGTTTAACATACTTTCTATCGCTATTCGAATATAAATGAACTAACCTGAAAAAGTATCGTCTCTTCTCCTTTATGACGTTATTATTCTTCTTAACTCCAATTTTTTATCTTCCAAGTTTAACGAGTTAGCGGGTCAATCATGCGGCAGTTTCGCCTTAGAGATATTCGCATTCCGATTAACAAAACGCTTCTTCTCCTGTTTGATTAACAATTCAAAAATTTACTTTCGTAGTTATTTAGTAAATAAATGTGTGCTTAACGATTGGTAGTCGAAATTGGGTGTCTTCGAGTGAATACAACTGTCGCGCGTGATTTTCTTCGTTTCGATTCCTAAACCAGCATTCACGTAACTGTTACGGAACAGGACCGATTCACCTTGGCCAAATTCGGCCTTTTTCCCACCATTTTAAAAGAAACGCCCTCTATCGGATGCTCCTAGCTCCACCGCTAACGCTACAGTATCTATTTATATACATAAAGGAATTTGCATTGAAAAAACACATGTAGCCAATCAGTCAGTTTCATCTATACCAGTGTTTTTCAACCTTTTTGAATACGCGACCACTTTACAAGTTAAAAAATTATGGCGACCCCCCACGGCCATATTAAAAAACTATATCAGTGATTTTAAAAACTACGTATTTAATTTTTTTCCTGTTGAGATTTAAATATTGATCAAAAAACTAATTGTACTGTAAAATAAACAGGCACAGCCTCTCACTAAAATTGTAGTTTTTTTTATTGTAGTGTAGGACCTACAAACACTTGTCTTTTTTTCTTTTACCTGCGACTCCCCGTGTATGGCTTTGCGACCCACCTGGGGGTCGCGACCCACAGGTTGAAAAACACTGATCTATACCGTTTGATTAATACGTCAAACATTGGAATGGAGAAAACCTCAATTGCAGCCATTATTTTTTTTTCTCTGAAGATTTCGTGCAAGATTTCGCAATTTTCATTTACTTGTTTGTTGTTATCTACATAAATTTTAATACTAGTTTTAAAGATCCAAATTGCTTTTTAATTTGGTGAAAATAATTTCTACTTCCGACGATAATAAACGAAACGCATTCGGCTTCGGTACAATTATTATTATTATTTTGAATTTTTAAATTATTTTTATTAATTATAATTTTTACTTTCTACGTAGTTTCGTCCTAAATATCCCTCTCGCCCAAAGACCATTAACGCGACTAATTATAATAGCATTTGTTTTATTAACAAGTAGGCCTACAGACTTTTAAAAATATATCACTTATAATAATTTAACTATAAAAAATAAAATCTACATTTAAATATAAAGGGAATTTAATGCAGACTGTCTCGGATGCAGAGCCTATTATAAGGATAATTGAGCTTCCCGCCTGCCTGTTTATAAAACGAACACATAAATTCTACCTTATGTAATATCAAAAAATAAAATTTCAAATATTTAATAATAATAATAATATGTACAGTTTTTAACTAAAACAATTTATTCTACTTTAAAAAATTGAAAATCGTCCATTTTCACCCTTCTAAATTTGTTGTGTTTTTAAAAATATGTACAAAAGTCGAAAGCCAAGAAGTAGTTTCGTATTATAAAGAAAGTTTCGAGAAAGCTGACGAAAAATAATACAATTTTTTTCTAAAACAATTTATTCTACTTTAAAAAATTGAAAATCGTCCATTTTCACCCTTCTAAATTTGTTGTGTTTTTAAAAATATGTATAAAAGTCGAAAGCCAAGAAGTAGTTTCGTATTATAAAGAAAGTTTCGAGAAAGCTGACGAAAAATAATACAATTGTTTTCTAGGACAAGAAAAGATTTCTTTTTGTACGTTTTAACAAAAATAATTTTATTTCTACAGTTTCAGTTATTTTACCTCACGGTTTTAATAATTGTCATTCTAGATGTCACCGTAATTAACTTTATGAGTTTTTTCGCCGATATACTTAATTAATTAATTTAATAAAATACACTGCCAAAAATGTATATTTGACCTAAGTTATAGAAAATAAACCTACTTTTTCATCAAAAAAGGAGTGTTTCTGTGCGATTTTTTTTCAATAGGAACTTTATGCTAATTTCGAAAGACATGCAACTAATTACGAGAACAGCGAGCATTCAAGTATTAATTTTCATAAATTCTTTTTACTTTACTGGAAATAAAACTGGCAAAAATTGCCACTTGATTTTAGTAAGGCAGTCGAAAATAAACGGAAGCTCGAATTTGAAGTACGAAGGAAACATATTGACGTCATAGTATTACGTCCATCTCCCCTTATCGAGTTAATCCCATCGCCTGTACTCCAGCTTTCGGTATCGTCTTTTACCTTTATTTTCTACCCAGCTAAACACCGAAAAGTGTCCAAACTAGAGAAGTAAACTTCGTCTAACGCAAAGATCAAAACTGCATAAAGAGCGTTTATTTCCTCAAAGCATTTTCGTGGGTAAATTCTTTCGAGTTCATTCCTAATCTTTTCACGTTTAAATGTCTCGATTATTTTATTTATTGTTAATTTAAATTTAACAATTATTCGAAACGATTTATAAGGGGGAAAATTAACGTTTATGTAGTTAGCGAAATGCATCTCGGATATCGTCGAAACGAAATAATCAATACAAATAATTTATATTGTATAATATTTATAAATAATTTTCAGCACGTGTCTTCATTTTAAACGTTCTGAAACTATGCATTTTATTCTTTAGAAATAGCTAATAATATATATATATATATATATACATACATTAACTATTTCTAAAGAATAAAATTATATGGAAAACAAATTCAAGGTTGACTGGTAAATTAAATTATTATCATAATTGAATAGGAGTATTATGAAAGTAATTATTCTCCATTGACACAATACCCTTCGATAGAGTTACGAGAGAATTTTTTTTTTATCTTTCGATTGGGGCAGCGTTTATGGTTGGCGCTTTTGGGCGTATTTTAAATAATTGTTTAATTTTTTGCAGGTAAGCTCACTGGTTTGTTTCGTCATGTCTAAAAGGAAGACTTATTCACCTGTAAGTCAGTCGGATAGTAGATCTAAGATTTTTCATTCTGACCCATTGGAGGAGACGAGTATCTTGGAGTTACTTCAAGGAGAATTTGATATTAAGGATGGGATATCGTTACTTATTCAGCTAAATTTAAAGCAGAATAAGAAATTGGAAGGAATGATTGCTAGGATTGATAGAATCTACTCCTGGGTAGAAAATTTGGACGAAGCTATTGTTAATATAGAAACTAGATTAGAAGATTTAGAGAAAAAATTTACATACGATACCGGTAAGATTCTATCGGACGATAGAATAGATTTGGAAAACAAAATGGCCGAGTTTACATTAAGTCAGGAGCGGTTTGAGTGTTTTTTAAGGCGTAATAATTTAATAATTTCTGGTTTGCCTGAGTCGGAAGATGATAACTTACAAGTTAAAGATGTAGTATTGGAATTTTTTCAAAATAAATTAAGTGTTGATAATGTTCGTTTAGAGCAGTGCTATAGATTGGGTCAACAACGGAAAGATAGTATTAGGTTGATTTACTGTAGTTTTTTTGACTATGGTGATAAATGTAAGATTAAAAGAGCGGCATTTAAATTAAAAGGAACGAGGATATTTATAATGGATGACCTTCCTCCTTTAACTAGAGACATAAGGAAAATAATGAATGATTTTGCAAGAGAAAAAAAGAGATTGGGTGCTTCAATTACTTATTTAAATAATAGAAATGCGGTTAAAGTTGATAATAAAATTTATAAATATAATATAGTTTCTAAGAAAATGGAAGAACAAATGTCAACTTGACTGGGGATAGGTACGTCGGTACTTTCATGGAATTGCGAAGGTATTGTAAATAAGCCTATCTCTTTTTGGAATTTTTTGTATACTTTTGATATCATTTTTTTTATGGAAACGTGGTGGGATGGCAGGTCTGCTATTCCCGATTTGCAAAATATGAATAAATTTTCTGTTTTTTCGGATGGAGGGTATCGAGAGGCTGATAGAGGTCGCTATATTGGTGGCTGGTTGTTGTTATTGTCTAACTCTTGGAAAGTAAATATTTTGGAAAAAGATAGGCATTGGATTGTTGTGGAATTGTCTATAGGGACTATAGTAATTTCTTTCTGTTTTATGTATATAAGACCTGTATTATGGAATACTATTTGGACAGAGGTAGTTAGGTTGGTTAATTGTTATAACATAGACTTTTTAATTGGTGATTTTAATGCTCACATTAGAGTAGAACTGCAGAAATGGATTTATGACAGTAATGAGAATATTGATCAGGATTGGATGTTGAGGTCATCAAAAAATACATTATTAAATAATCGTGGAAAATTGGTGTTAGATTTTTGTGAAGAGGCGGGATATATTGTTCTAAATGGTAGAGGCTCATCTATATCTAAAGGTTATTATACATATGTGAGTGATATAGGCTCCTCTGTAATTGATTTGGCTTTGGTTAAATTAAATAGATTATCTATTGTAACAAGATTTTCTGTATTAGACAAAGTGTATAGTAATCATTTTCCGATAAGTGTAGTTTTGGATTGTAAATCTAAAAAGGAAATTCGGATCATCATTTAAGAAGTATAAGAGTAAGAGTGAGAGAATTTTTTGGAGGGAAGAAGGTAGTGAGGAGATAAATTATAAGTATAGGGAACTATTATGTGCGATTCAGAGTCAGTCAGTATTAACGTTCGAAGGTTTAACTCATTTAATTAAATCGTCATTTTCAGATTGGTGTCAAAGGCCAATTGGATTTTCCAATTTCGTGTGGTTTGATATGGATTGTAAGTTGAGTATTGCAAGAAGAAATCAGGCGTTGAATAGGATGAGATGGTTAAAGTGTGGAAATAGTGTTGCAGTTAAGAATTTTGTTAAAGAACGTAATGTGACTAGTAATTTATGTAGAGCTAAGAAAAAGCTTTTTTTGAAGAAGATCAATAAGAATTTGGCGTCTGGTGATAGTAAGCAGTTCTGGCGATTTATTAATTTCTTTGTTAAGAGTAAATACAGGAAGCTTCCAGATCTTGATTGGGTAGCTTTTTTTTCAAAGAAATTTCATTCTAGTAAATATTTACCGGATATGTCTATATATAATTGGTGTATGAATTGGCAGGACGAGCTGTTGGATATGGAGATAACAGAACAGGAAGTCAAAAAGATTCTAGCTTCTATGAAAAACGGTACTGCTCCAGGTAT